TAAGCTGGGACAAGGGTTGAAATTTGACTTGTGCACCGAGAGCGTGGTCTTCAGACTCACCTCTGCTGTAGTTACAACGGTTCAGGCTAGCTTACGTGGAATGCCAGAAATATCTCTCAAGATGAAGTACACAGATCATTTAAATCGTCATCAAGTTGCTTTTCCAGTTAAGCCTTGGAAAGTGATTTGCATCCTGCAGCGCACTGGCTCAGTAAGATACACTCCACCTCAGTTTTGTGTCGATGCACCCAACCCCTTTGTGCAGTTGACCCACTCCACGATTAAAGGTCAGATTTGTAACGCAGTGAGATAAATTACACGCAATGTGCGCATGACCCCGCTAGAGATTCGAGAATCTTTCAGATTTCCAGGCATTTCAGTTTGTTCTTGGTGCCATGTACATTCCTCGTTTACGAGAAAGACCGTATTGCTAAGTTTTGGTGTTCCTTGCATACGCTGCATACTCATACTCGGCAGTCACTCTGTTCGAGGCTGATCACGAAGCTTTCTTCTACTGGAATCTGAATTTTTATTGTGCGGCATTGTTTCGTGAAGCGTAATATGTGCCATTTAGTTTCGATGCAGTCACATGGAAGCATCGTATTTATGACTGCAATATCTGCCTACAGTAATATGACAAATATGGGTAAAATGTTACTGTAGACGCGATCAGATACATTTAGGATTCATACCCATGTAGCTCGACCCTCTGGCGATTTTGGAATGCCATTTTTAGGAGGACATCATAACAATCTTAGTAAATGCAAGCTGATAATTGACAAAGCAGAGATGCTGACATTTCTTAGCTCACATGCCGAAGAATGAAAGGGTATCTCACCAGTCTTTGAAAAATACCCTTTCACGTTTAGGTCTGACAGCTAGGAAAGGAAAACATTTGTTTCTTTCATTCTCAGCTTGTTCATTGTCGTAATTCATTATGTTAATTTTCGTCATCGCGCACTTCTCACTTTAATTAGCTAAATGGTATCTTAAAGTATGTTTTCATCCATACAGCGTGTATCGTTGGCTGTCACTTTCGCTTAAGATCAACGCCATTTGCTGTTGTTTAAGCTAATGACTCTGGTGAGGCAGTTTGTGACTCTAGTTTCATTGCTTTCACTAAAGAGTACTCCACATATGCCGGTGTCTGTGTTCGGATTTAGCCTTCGATGCCGGGATCTTCTTGCCCACCCCCTCCCATTCGGCTTTGTCTCCGTAAACAGGCCTTATAAAGCAATAATTCATTGAGCTCCAACACTTAAATTCTTCACTTTAACAACTATGTTTTTGTAGTATTCTTTCGAACGATTAAGTGTTTATCGAGTACTTTTCTAGGGATTTGAAAGCGGTCAAAGTTACCGTTCGTTTCAAACTGCCTTCATGTATCGGCCTCGGTTCTTCCGGTGCTTACTGTGTATGCATTGCTGCAGCGCTGCTGCAAATTTCAGGTCTTATTCCTAATCCTTCCCTTACAGTGAGCATCTTTTGTTAAAATTTATAACGTTTTGTCTCGTTACGTTCTGTCGTCCGTCTGTCTGCTAGTTGTGTTGAATTATGTTTATACTTGGTGCTTTAAAGTTTTATTTTTATTTTGAGTTAAGGTTGCGGCTGTAACGGTGTCCCTAATTTTATGCTTTGAAGCGTCAATGTTTAGACTGAGTACGAAAACAGTTCCACTTGGAGTGCTACACATCTAGACACCATTCAAAAATGGGCCGCTTGTGCCGAATCATTGATTCACGGTCGGGCGTCCGGCTTAGATGCGGCTATTTGTACATATGGTGAGTACTGGCATATAATAGTATATTCGTTTATGTCACAGCGCAGCAGCAGGTACAAGAGAACATTTCCAGCAAATCGTGTGCTTCATTTACCTAATTTACCTGTAGCATTCAGTGTTTAGATATGCTAATGAAGACTGATTGATTCGCATAATTGTGAATTAATTCTTAGTTAGTTGGCGAGGATGTTAGGCTTTTTGTTTACAGCGAGTGTATGGAACAAATCCTTGAAAAGTTTGCATTATCATCATTAGCCTCTGTCGATCCACTGTTGGATGATTGCCTCTCCAAGACTTCGCCACAACCTTGTGTTTTCTGCCGTTTTCAACCATCTACAGGCCGTTTACTCTCTCTCTCCCTCTCCCTCCCTCTCTCTCTCTCTCTCTCTCTCTCGGAATTCAGTCTTAATGCATTTTTAGTTCACTGATGCTCGATACTCCTTTCAACGTGCCCAGTCCATTGCCACATCACTTTTTTCACTCAAGGAATGGCATCGCGGTGTTTTGTTTGTGCTCCAGCCGATTCGTTCGCCTTCCTATCTTTTCGTGTTATTCCAAACATGGGATGGCACTGGCTGATCGAATATTTTCCATTTCAGTCACAAGGGTAGCTTTCTGAATTGGAGCATTGTCAGTTTTCCAAAAGTGCTACATGTCAGTTACAGGAATGAGCAGCCACGGATAGATGTAGTTGTACACCCCACTATGACTAAGTACGAAAAGTTTGCATGGAAAAGGTAAATTAATAATAAGAATTTTAATTTGTCTTGCTTCTGGCCTTCGAGCTTGTCAGGCAAGGGAATACATTTTTTTAGTTTTGCTACTGGTACTGGTTTAAAAGCTGGTTCATAGGATTTAAATGTTAAATCCTCGTCCATGTGTAATCTAAGCGGAAATCGATACATCCCTTACGTCCTTTGCGCTTATACGCTGCTTATGTTTGCTAGTGATCACTCACCATCGTACTCTTTCAGGCGGAATCGCGAGTTTCAAAATGGGCTGTGGAATTCAGCGCGTTGAAAAGTAAACCTATTTTTTGTGAGCTCCTTTTGGCCTTTGACCTCTTGACTGTTTGCTTTTAGTCTACCGGAATTGAAGGTGCTGCTCGTCAACTCGAAAATCGAGCGTAATACGTCCCGCATGGTGACGCTTGTGAAAGAGAGGTTTAAAAAGGTAAATAGTTTTGAAGTGTATTGTTCATTGCAATTTCAACCTTTGTTGTCAGCGTCGCTGTTCTCTCTGTTTCATTCGTTCCTAGGGACACACCGAGGTGTTTCATCACATGCTCCAAACCTATGCTATTTCAGTCCAACCATTGTGTTGATCTTGCATGCCTTTACACGTAAACAAAGTTACCGTGTTCACTGTTAAGTTGTGAGAAAGTCTGACATTCCGAAGTCGACAAACCTTCCGTCTTCTTACATTTGTTGTTTTTACATCTCAGGTTGTTGTTGATGTTCTCTTCGACGAGCGGCGAGTACATAAACGCATTTAGGCAAACTTAACCATCCTTACAAACTTCTGAAATCCTATCATATAAAAATCAAGAAACTTGTTTTTGTTTGTGCGCAGTACTCAGGTGTTTGTAACACCGGAGTAAGATCTGATTTCCCTCAAGAAAAGTTTTATGTTTGTTAGCAACTTCTAGATCGATCAACGCGCATGGCAGAACACAGCAAACTCTAATGCCGGAAGCACTGCTTAAAAATGTGATGATGTATTGTGATGTTAACTTATTTCAGTAGTTTTTAGTTCCCCGATGTCGTCGAGAACATTTTCAATGCTATCGATGCCGTATCGAGAGAAGCAGTGGCAATTTTGTCGCACGGTCCACGCCAGCAGCAGAAGAGCACATGTACAGACGAAGAGCATTTCAATCTGCAGGTAAGCGCGAACAATCTTGACTGCATGCCGTTTGATCACAATGCTATGCCCGACGTATATGGCATGGATTGACGTGTGCTGCTTGGTAGTGAGTGAGATGGCGTTGCGGCTTTCGCGCGACAGCCCGCCGTACAGGGCGCATTCAGCCGACCAACGGGACGATGACCTGCGTGTTGTGTGCACCGCATGATATCGTGCCGTGCCGTGCCGTGCCTTTCGTTCGTCAGCTGATCGTCGTTGTTCGCTGACCCTCCCCTCCTTTAATACTCACACGCATTCTAGCGTTCAGTTGTTAAGCCACTCTTACTGCAGCGTTGACGGTTGGCATTGTGGTGCTTTCCAGAACCCAACCTCAGCATGCCCGTCACAAACTGAGAGCAAGCAACGACCGAAGTACGATATATGTTAACGTATGTACAAGTGTTTCGAGCCGCTGCGGTAACCATTAGGGGCTGTCGTAATCAAGATTAAAATTTTTTATTTTCTTCTGCTAAGAGTCAGTGCGTTAGATTGCCAATAAAAAGACAGAATTAACAAACATAAAACATAAACATGGCACAACAGATCGCTTCGCCGTAGGGAACCACGGTTCGAACGGACAGATGACAGGTACTACTCGTTAGGCAACCTAAGTTAAGTTAA